CGACACTAACCACTAGACCACCGACACTAACCACTAGACCACCGACACTAACCACTAGACCACCGACACTAAACACTAGACCACCGACACTAACCACTAGACCACCGACACTAACCACTAGACCACCGACAACTTCACGACAATCCCAAAACTGTGACGTTCCCTTTTGTTGTCGTTTCTTAATTTGTGGTATCGGTTGTATGTGCTCGAAATTCAAATTGTCGTAAACATGTTTTTGGATTGTTTTAGTGAGGTTTTTACGGTGCTCGCAACTGCATAAGGTCATATGAGCGCCAAGGGGTGGATGTCAACAGAGAAGTCCAAACGGGGAATCAGGCTTTCTGATAGCTGGTGATTACTACAAATTTCAGTATGCACATTATGTACATATTGGCCTATATTTCTGAGGGGAAAAAAATGAAACAAACAATATGAGATGTCTACTCGACTTTACCGGCCAGAAAACGCACCCTGACGTCATTAAAAGCGACATTCATAGACTCAGGGGGAGCAGAAAGTTTACCTGACGTAAAATAGACGCATTTGTCTTGACATGAACCAAAATATTGTCGAGTTTGCCGAGACATTTCTGAAGGGACGGTGATATGAACAGACGTCAGAATTGATTCATCATAAATGCCTTCCACCCCTGGCAGGGTATAGGCCACATACAAGCTCCCTCCATTTATCTCTGTCCTGGGCCATCCTTCCAAGCTCGTTCCAAGTGAGCTTCATCTCTCTCATGTCCCTTTCCACACATCTCCTCCATGTCTCCCGTGGCCTACCCCTGCCTCGTGCTCCCTGTGGGTTCCACTGCAGCGACTGTCTTGTGATGTTTCCGCTGGGCTTTCTGAAGGTGTGTCCCATCCATCACCACTTTCTTAGTCCTATTTCTACTTCTATATCCTTTTGTCCTGTCCTTCCCCACAGTTCCAATCAGAATAGATTACAAGGATGATATCTTCTATACGGCCTTGGCTCACAGAGATAGCCTAATCTAGACAGAACGACATTGGAGTGGACAGACAGAGATCTTCACAAAGCAGGTGCCGTGCTGTTGACCTTCTGAACTGCCGGGTATGTGTGTGCGTGCGTGTGTGTGTGTGTATGTGTGTATGTGTGTGTGTGTGTGCGTGTGTGTGTGTGTGTGTGTGTATGTGTGTGTGTATGTATGTGTGTATGTGTGTGTGTGTATGTGTGTATGTATGTGTGTGCGTGTG